CCAGCTACTGAGGTATCTATGCATTTACAAATAGCAGTGCAGTTTCCTCACTAAAACATGTCCTCTATGAGTGTGTGTGTATATGTATGTATACCAATCAAAAGGGTTAGAAGAGTAAATATGAACCAGAAACTAGCAAAGCAAAATAAAATGTCACCTAATGATACAAGCTGATTAATGGTTAGAAGCCATGGCTAACCCCAATGACTTTTTGTACGAAGCTGGGTAGCTACTGACTAGCACTTGCTAATTAAAAAAAGAAAGAAAAAAATCCAGACTTCCAAATCATTGAGAATTGAGCATTTTCTGCATCCTTGCTCATAATCAAGTAATCAGTCAATATTCAGAACAGCAAAAATACTCAAAGCTGAAAGTAAATAATTAAGATGAATTGTAAGTAATTGCTTACCAGCTACTATAAAGCATTGTGCAAACCAATTGTATGAGTGGCTGCTGAGTTATAAACCCTCCACTGAATAGAGATATCTAAACAGGCATGAAGGATTTATAAAATGTTGCAGAAATGAGGACACATTGAAAAACGTATCTGTGCACAACAAACTAATGAGTCCACTATACAGACTATGGTTCACAACCTATTTCAAATGTGCCATATTTTTCTTGCCTGTTTTACTCAAATAATATTTATGGTGCCAGGCACTGAATCATTATTTTCTAATTGAATATCTTTTAGGTCCCAGCTTGGAACTGATTTCTTTTTGAAGAACTATCTCCAGTACCTCAAAACCAGGCTAATACTTATCTGCTAGCATGCTGTCCTTACTCCACAAAGGGTTTTCCTTCCTTAAGACCCTATTTGTGCATTTGCAACTAACCAGCAAACAGACTCTATGCATAGGGACTATCTCTTATTGAGTGAATCACCAAGACTTAGCCAGACAAGGTGAATAGAGTTACTAGTGAAAGAGGCATCTTCCAATGTGTTAGGTGAAATCACAGGTGAAATCACACCAGCAAGCTTCAACCTTTTTAATAAAAGGTTCTAAAACATTTTTGTAGTGTGGATCCTTTTAGCAATATGATGAAGCCTAAGAACCACTTTCGGCCGGGCGCGGTGGCTCAAGCCTGTAATCCCAGCACTTTGGGAGGCCGAGACGGGTGGATCACGAGGTCAGGAGATCGAGACCATCCTGGCTAACCCGGTGAAACCCCTTCTCTACTAAAAAATACAAAAAACTAGCCGGGCACGGTGGCGAGCGCCTGTAGTCCCAGCTACTCCGGAGGCTGAGGCAGGAGAATGGTGTAAACCCGGGAGGCGGAGCTTGCAGTGAGCTGAGATCCGGCCACTGCACTCCAGCCTGGGCGACAGAGCGAGACTCCGCCTCAAAAAAAAAAAAGAACCACTTTCTCAGAATGAAATTAAAACACAAAATAAAATACTTAAGATTTAAAAAAAATTAAAATATAAGTAGTATAAGTGCTTTCTTGTTAATGTATTAAATTATAGGCTCTATCATAATTTTGAAGCATAAGCAATATTTAGAGAATTATATATAAATGTGAAATGATATAAAAATAACCATTATTTTCATCACTCACAAGTTTACAGGTACAGTTAACTAATTAGCATCTCCATATGGGAATATTTCCAATGATACTAACAGGCTTCATAGATTGCTATATGAAACAATTATGTAATACCAGAACAAGGAAACTATACACCATGAACCATTTCAAAGTGAATAAATTCCAGAAGAACTTTAGTCGACTCTCATCAAAATTTCTATAGAAAAATAAGGAAAGGATCGGGCGCAGTGGCTCATGCCTGTAATCCCAGCACTTTGGGAGACTAAGGCAGGTGGATCATGAGGTCAAGAGATCGAGACCATACTAGCCAATATCGTGAAACCCTGTCTCTACAAAGAACACACACACACACACACACACACACAAAAATAGCTGGGTGTGGTACACGCCTGTAGTCCCAGCTACTCAGGAGGCTGAGGCAGAAGGATCGCTTGAACCTGGAAGACGGAGGTTGCAGTGAGCTGAGATCGTGCCACTGCACTCCAGCCTGGCAACAGAGTGAGACCCCATCTCAAAAACACGAAAGAAAGAAAGAAAGGAAAGAAAGGAAGGAAAAGAAAGAAAGGAAAGAAAGGAAAGAAAGAAAGAAAGAAAAGAAAGAAAGAAAGAAAGAAAGAAAGAAAGAAAGAAAGAAAGAAAGAAAGAAAGAAAGAAAGAAAGAAAGAAAGAAAGAAGGGAGGGAGGGAGGGAGGGAGGGAGGGAGGGAGGGAGGAAGGAAGAAAAAAAGTATTAAAAAGTACTGAACTGAACTATCACTTTCATTGTCAAAATAGAGACTACCATGCCTAATACAATGCCATATATACACAGTGGGGAACAGTTCAAAATAATTCACTAAGTTTCCTATTACTCTGAGACACCATGCCAAGCACTAGAGACACAAAGATTAATGACATCTGATCTCTTTGTAGGAGGAACAGAGAAGTTAGCAAGGGAAACAAATGTTTAAACAAATGATTGTCACAAAATAAATTACATCATAGAGTTATAAACCTAGTGTCCCAGCAACACAGAAGAACAGGTATAAATATTGCTATTTTTAACCTTATTGTATAAACACAAATATGAGAGGTCACAGAAATCAAATGGCAAATGTAGATCAAAATTATGAAACCATTTTATGATAGCAAATTAATTGTGGATGACGATAAGAGACGACTGCAACACTCTTTATATTATATGTTCTTCTTAGAATGCAAAGTCATAGGAAGAAAATATAGCTGCCAGTGTCAGAAGCACTATAGGGTTATATGAAATATACAGTAACACAAAGGAGATTTGACATAACAGATGGAATATCAATATGAGTCATACTGGTTATTCCAAGTGGACTGCTACAAGTGACATAACTTCCAGGCTGTTTTTTCACATTTAACTTAATTCCTGCAACACTCAGAGAATTTCAATAAATCTTGCCTTTATTAATTAAATCAATCCTACTGATTACCAATCACTATAAAAATCCTGTTCCCTTAATCAAAGATGACTTATTAAGAGATTAGAGGGTAGATTATTCAAAGTGCTTTATAAAATAGTATCTCTATATAATGGTAATCTCTTACTATCATTCTTTATTTGAAAAGATGAAAAGAAGGGGAAAAGGATGGGCTTTTCCCATCAATTTTCAGTGATATAATCATTTCTGAAAACTCAGATTAAAAATAGCATGCTCCTTAGATACATCAACCAAATGAATAAGATCTGAAAAGACTGCAAGTTTATAATGACTATACCAGCTCTGAAAACGAGAGCAGTTTTATTTACGAAGTATTTTTAAAATACAGATTGAGCATTCCTAATCTGAAAAACCAAAATCCTCACAAAAATTTATATTCTTCTTATAACGCAAACCAAAATGCTCTAAATGCTCCAAAACTGGAGCACTGACATGATGCCACAACTGGAGAATCCACACCTGACCTCATGTACAAAGTCTCAGTTAAAATGCAGTCAAAACTATGTTTCATGCACAAATCACTTAAAATATTGTATAAAATCACCTTCAGGCTGTGTGTATAGGGTATACATGAAACAAATAAAATTTTGTGTTTAGACTTGGGTTCCACTGAAGATAACTCATTATACATGCAAATATTCAAAAAAAAAAATCTAAAGTCAGAAAGACTTCTGGCCCAAGCATTTCAGATATAAAGTATTCAACCTGTAACTTGTTTCCTACCACTGGAAGTATTACACCAACTCCTTACTGTGAAAATTGGTCATTTAAAACAAAAAGAGAGAGAGCGAATTAGGCATTTATACCACTTTTGATATACAGGAGAAATGGTGTTTACTCCTGGCTGATGACAGAAAACATTTTCTATAGAAGAGTAACAGCCAACAAATGCAGAGACCAGGACAGAATTAACAAAACCCACCATTCTACAACCTTCAATGTAACAAAATTATTAATTTAAAAGTTGCATCAGAAATAATGTCAAAATGACATACTGTAGAGTACTTGCTAATATCCATAAGAAAAACCTATTTCCAATTATGTAGATACTTGATAGTCATTACCTTACTCCTGTGATCAAATATAGCACCACAAACAGGGAGACAACCTAAAATAATGTGTCACCTATTGGGATGAAATGATGTAGACAGCAATACTTACAACGTTTAGAAACAAACAAACACACACAAACTCCTTAGCCTGAATGGGTTTATACCTCTAGACTTAACTTCCAGTTAAACAGATAGATATCCAGGGAACAGAGAAATACAAAAACATTATCATAATGAAAAAAATCTGGCCAAGCATGGTGGCAATACTTTGGGAGGCTAAGGCAGGAGAATTGCTTGAGGCCAGGAGTTCAGGATCAGCCTGGGCAGCATAGTGAGACTTTGTCTTTATCTTCTTTTAAAAAATAGTAAAATTAAATAAAAATTTAAAAATCTTGCAAATGCAGAATTTAAATAAGACAATTACTCTGGATATTGTGAAAAGAAAATTAAGAGTACAAATCCTATGCTATATTAAAAGGAACTAAAAAGATGTAACAAAATGTAAGGAGTAAACCTTAAGAAGAAACAGAAAAAGAGCACCACTAAAAAAATAAACGAGAAAATTAAATTAGCTTACAAAGTGTTGTAAGTTACACAGAAACTTCAAGTTGCAAAAAAGACACTGCTCGTATGTATTAATATTCTAGTTTGGAATACTGAAGTTCTTGGAGTAATTATAAACAGAAATCAATGTAACTCAACAGCATTGCCTACATGGCTGCTGTTTAATAGCTACTTTATTGAGAACAAAACTAATTTTAGCGGGATTTTAGAGGGGTAGTAAATTTTTATTATAAATTCACTTATTCAATATAATGACTTAATAACTTTTCTGATATACACTGATACATGAAGAAAAGTCACATTCCATATTCCATATTTGGCTGGAAAACTCATTGTATAAATGGTCTACAAAAAAAAAAAAAGACAGAGCGAGAACTTACCACTTGTATTAAAAGCCATGCAGCACACTGGCTTCTCATGGGCAGGGAAGTGGGCCACAATGCCATCACTGTCAGAATCCTCACTCACAAGCACCTCCACAAAAGAAATAAAGACAAATGGAGGTAAATATTTTCTCACCAATAATCAAGCTTGAAGACTGTAAGAAGGTACATCACAATACCACTGACCAAATAACATGTTTCCACTCTAGTAGATTATTCTTGCCAATATAAGGAGAGAATTCCACTTTAGAATTGAGGAAGAGATATAACATGCCCCCAAGCACATCAGTCATATAAACTCTGAAAAGAGTCAGCTGACTTGACTGTAGATGAAACAATTACTTCTTCAAGTATAGGTTCAGAGGAAGGAAAAAAAGAGATACAATCAACTATTTTCAATTCTTTACAAAATGTAATCACTTAGAGCTTTATCCAAGGACAGGAAATACAGGTCTTACTGTGTTATGGGATCTGCTGGAAAATCACAATTTTTTGCCCATTATTGAAATATAAGAACAGGGGGAAAACAACATAATTTGTTAACCATAAACAAACAGGTGTATAGAGAAATCATCCAGTAACATTTTCATACTATAGAATGAAAGTTGTGTTCTTCAACTCCTAGTTTATAGAAAGAAATAGAACATATTTGAAATGACTATCAAATCATAAAAGCAGAGGTACATTAGAATAGGTGCCTCTGTATCTCAAATGGAGTTTCTTTACTCCTCTTTTTAAGGCTATACTGAAATATAATTTACATTCCATATAATTTCCCATTGTAAGTTCAAAAACTTTTTAAAAATTATTTTACTTATCTAATATTTCAGAAAGCAAACCTATTACACCAATTTTGGATCATAGTATTTAGACACAGAGAAATTTGATTTTAAGTAACCTTGGACGTTGTCCTACAATGGCGATGTTATTTTTTTTCTTTCAAAAATACATGTTAGACTAAAGTCCTACTATGTGTAAAATACTCTGCTAAGAGCTCAGACTATAAACCAAAAGTTATTCCTGCCCTGAAAGATACACAGTAAATGACTAGAACAGTTATTTTATCAGTTACAACATATTTGCAAATATAGCCCAAAAAAAAATCTACTTAAGCACCAAGATTTGTGTGTGTGAAATTTGTGTGTGTGAAGGCTTTACAAAGATACAACTCGCATACCATAAAAGCTACCCATTTTAACTTTACAGTTCAATCATGCTATACAGTATCAAAACCACCACAACAAGCCACCATAAAAATGTCTGGAACGTTATCCTCGCCGATCTTTATGCCTTATTGCTCTAGCTAGAACCTCCAATTCAATCTAGCTACAAATACATTGATTATATTGATCTTTTCAAATAACCAATTTTAGACTTTTCCAATATTTCACTGTTTGCTGTTCTATCAACTTCTATCCAGATCTTTATTATCTGCTTCATTTGTCTTACATTGGTTATAATTTGCTCTTCTTTTTATCATCTTTTAAGGGAAACACTTAGATTATTAATTTCAGGCCATTTTCTTTTCCTAATATAAGCATTTAAAGCTATAAATTTTCTTCCATATAATACCATAGTTTAGGTATACTCCATAAATTTTTATATGTTGTTTTCATTTTCATTCAATTCAAAATATTTTCTAATGTCCCTAAGCGTCTTTCTTTGACCCATGAGTTATTTACAAGTGCGTTTTATTTCCAAATATTTGGGATTCCCCAAATTGAATTTTGTTATTGATTTCCATTGTCCTTAGAGAAATACTCTGCATGAGTTTAATCCTTTTAAAGTTATTAAGATTTGTTTCATGGCCAAGCATCTGTTCTATCATGTACAATGAATGTCCCAGATGTTTTTGAAAATAATGTGCATTCTGCAGTTTGGGGTGGTCAAGTTAGCAAATAGTGTTAAACATGTCTTCTAAGTCTTTTCTAATTTTCTATCTAATTGTTCTATCAATTATTTTTTAATAGAGAAATAGTCGTACATGTTTACTAACATGCATGGGGAAAATTACAGAGTGCTTACTCCTATCAACTAATGAGGAATAAATTATTGAAATCTTGAGCTGTAATATAGAGCTAAAATTGGGCCAGACACGGTGGCTCACGCCTGTAATCTCAGCATTTTGGGAGGCTGAGGCGGGAAGATCACGAGGTCAGGAGTTTGAGACCAGCCTGGCCAACATGGTGAAACCCTGTCTCTACTAAAAATACAAAAATCAGTCAGGCCTGGTGGCGCGTGCCTGTAATCCCACTTACTCAGGAGGCTGAGGCAGGAGAATCGCTTGAACCTAGGAGGCGGAGGTTGCAGTGAGCCGAGATCGCACCATTGTACTCCAGCCTGGGAAACAGAGTGAGACTGTCTCAAAAAAAAAAAAAAAACAAAAAACAAACAAACAAACAAAAAACAGAGCTACAATTTCTTCTTTCAATTTTGTTAGATTTTATTCAATGTTTTTAGGGGCTGTGTTGTTAGGTATTTATATGCTAATAATTGTTTTATTAATTGTACATATTAATAGTGTTTTTCCAGAACAAGTATCACTAAGAAAAAAAAAAGAAAAAAGAATTTTTATCTGTGCTGTGTATTAACAATTGTTTTATTATATTGACCCTTTATTGTGAATGAAATGTCTCTCTTTTACTCTAGTAGTACTTCTTGATGTAAAGTCTTTAATATTACCATGGCCACTCTAATTCTATTATGGTTATTGTTTACATGACATATTTTTAAAATTTCAACTTTCAGATACAAGGGGTGCATGTGCAGGTTTGTTACATGGGTATATTGCACCCGGGTAGTGAGCATAGTACCCAGTAGGAACCCATACTCCTACTTCTTCTCTCCCCATTCAAGTAGTCCACAGTGTCTGTTAATAGTTTCCATGTTTATGTCCATGTGTGGTCAATGTTTAGCTCCCACTTGTAAGTGAGAACATGGGGTATTTGGTTTTTCACTTCTCCATTAATTTGCTTAAGATTTTGGCTTCCAGCTCCATACACGTTGCTGTAAAGGACGTGATTTCATTCTTTTTATGACTGTGTAGTATTCATGGTGTATGTATAACACATTTCCTTTATTCAATCCACTGCTGGTGGGGAGTTAGGCTGATTCCATATCTTTGCTATTATTGTTAACAGCATGGTGATTAATATACAAGTACATGTCTCTTTTCGGTAGAGCCATTTATTTTCCTGTGGGTATATACCCATTAGTGGGATTGCTGGGTCAAATGGTAGCTCTGTTTAAGTTCTTTGAGAAGTCTCCAAATTGCTTTCCACGGTGGCTGAACTAATTCAGACACCCACCAGCAGTGTATACGTGTTCCCTTTTCTCCACAGCCCCACCAGCATCTGTTGTTGTTGTTGTTGTTGTTGTTGTTGCTGCTGCTGTTGTTTGAGATGGAGTCTTGCTCTGTCGCCCAGGCTGGAGTACAGTGGCATGATCTCGGCTCACTGCAACCTCTGCCTCCCGGGTTCAAACGATTCTCCTGCCTCAGCCTCCCGAGTAGCTGGGACTATGGCCACCTGCCACCATGCCCAGCTAATTTTTTGTGTTTTTAGTAGAGATGGGATTTCACTGTGTTAGCCAGGATGGTCTCGATCTCCTGACCTCGTGATCTGCCTGCCTTGGCCTCCCAAAGTGCTGGGATTACAGGCATGAACCACCAGGCCCAGCTGGTTTTTGACTTTTTAATAACAGCCATTCTGACTGGTGTTAAGATGGCATCTCATGTGGTTTTGATTAGCACTTCCCTGATGGTGAGAGATGATGAGCATTTTTCCATATGTTTGTTGGCCCACACGTATGTCTTCTTTTAACAAGTGTCTGTCTGTGTCCTTTGCCCATTTTTAATGGGGTTATTTGTTCTTTACTTGTTGATTTAAGTTCCTTATAGATGCTGGATATTAGACCTTTATCAGATAAATCATTTGCAAATATTTTCTCCCATTCAGTAGTTGTCTGTCTGCTCTGTTGATAGTTTCTTTTGCTGTGCAGAATCTCTTTAGTTTAATCAGGTGTCACTTGTCAATATTTGTTTTTTGTTGCAATTGCTTTTGGGGACTCAGCCAAAAATTCTTTACCAAAGCAGATGTCAAAAAGGGTATTTCCTAGGTTTTCTACTATGATTTTTACAGTTTGAGGTCTTACATTAAAATTTTTAAAGCACGTGACATATTTTTTACCATCCTTTTATTTTCAAACAAGTGGTCTTTGAATCTCAAGCAATTTGGATCTGACACATTTATCATTAACATATTGTTGCTATAATTGGATTTTAAGTTTGCCATTTTGCTATGTATGTTTATATGTCTTAGGTGTTTGTTGTTCCTCCAGTCTTCTTCTTCTGTGTTTAGAAAATATTTTTAGCATTAATATTTTAAGTCCTCTGTTACTTTTTCTGAGTAATTTCTTAGTGGTAGTTGGAGGGACTACAATATGCATATTAACTTATCATCTATTTCAGGTTAATATTGATTAAATTCCAGTAAAATACAGCTCATTGATTGACTATACCTGCATCTGCTACCTACTCCTTTGATTTATCATCTTCCTATTGTATTACCAATTTAAAAATAACATCTCATTATTTCCTCAAAAAAAAAAAACAGGAAAAAGCCTTCCCCTGTGAAAGCCAATTTTAAAAATTAGAAGTGAGCAATCCCAGCAATTTGGGAGGCCGAGGTGAGTGGATCAGGAGCTCAAGAGATCGAGACCATCCTGGCCAACACGGTGAAATCTCGTCTCCACTAAAAATACAAAAATTAGCTGGGCATGGTGGCGCACACCTGTAGTCCCAGATACTTGCGAGGCTGAGGCCGGAGAATTGCCTGAACCCGGGAGGCGGAGGTTGCAGTGAACTGAGATTGCACCACTGCACCACTCCAACCTGGCAACAGAGTGAGACTTCGTTTCAAGAAAGAAAAAATTAGAAGTGTTACACCTGATGCACAGATATCAATGAAAGGATACAAGAAACATAAAAAAGCAAGGAAATACAACACCTCCAAAGAAACACAATTCTCCAACAATAGGTTTTAACCTCCCTAAAAAATGTATAAAATGCCTGAAAAAGAATTCAAAAATACT